AACAAAGTGACAGAATATATCACATCCCGGTCCCAAGGAAACAGGGGCCAGGCCATATGACTGAGAATCTCCTAGAGGGCTACGGACATGGACTCAGATATGGACGGCTGCCTTTTCATGTCCTCTTATCTATGTTCTTTATGCCAAGGAGAAGCCCCCCAAAGGAGGAGACACCTTTCCCACAACACTCTGGTGGGCCACTTGGAACACTCTTGGTCTCCATGGGCCTTTCTTCACCTGCAAAGGCGGAGGGAGAGACCATGCTCCAGAGGATGGATATAATTTCTGGAGCATCAGTGCCATCAAGTGGGAGATTTTTGAGCTAGTCTGCCAGACCCTGCCTGTGGATCCTGCTGGAGAAGGCCTGTGAGGGGAGAAAGGGAGTGTCTGAAGTGCTCAGAGGATTCTGGGCGAACCTGGCTGCCAGGTACCCCTCCAGAGCAGGTGTGGAAGGGAAGGCAGTGGTGTTCTAGGGCCTGGCTCTCACATAGAGGAGCCCAAGACTGCCAGGCCCTCGGGGGTGTGGCCTCAGAAGCCGCCATGTTCAGGAACAGGTGCTAAAGCTCCTGACCCAGGGCCTCTGCCTAGGTGATCCTTGCCCTTCCTGCATGAAGGCTACTTTGATAGCTTTAAAAGGTCTCAGGTTACTGAAGTAACCCTGCCTTTTTTCATTCTTGCCATTAAGTATGCACCTCCATGGCACCAGTGTAAACTGGATTAATACACTTCAGAAAATCATCCTTGTAAAAGGCAAAGGAGTAAAACACAAAGTGTATCTGGGAGTTCTATTCCATACCTATCAGATGTGTGAAATCAGCTCCAGTAAAATACAGCCTTTTCTGGGCTTGAGTTTAAAATGAGTTCAGGGGTGCTGGAACTTACAAATAGGTTGATACTTGAATCACACAGGAGGAACTCATGACATCATTACGATGAAAAAGTATAGCAAAGAAGTATACCTGAAAGACTGAAGGCAGGAGGAGAAGGGGACGACAGAGAATGATATGGTTGAATGGCATCACAGACACAATGGACAGGAGGAGTTCGAGCAAGCTCTGAGAGATGGTGAAGGATAGGGAAGCCTGGTGGGCTGCAGTCCATGGGGTCACAAAGAGTTGGATAGGACTGAGCAGAAGTACCAGAACACACTACTATCCAGACACTGACCAGAGGAAATTCGGTGAGAGACCTGCCTTGAGAGAGGAGCCTACTGTACAGAAGGGACAACAGAATCAAAACACAACTGAGGGCTGTATTACATACCCAATAGAAGTGTGAAGTCAGTGTCTGCTCTTCATCTCTGTTTGTACTCTGGGAACACAACAAGCCTAAATGAGCTGTTCATCACGCCCTTTGATTTTCTGACTACACCTAAAAAGAAAGAAAATACTGTTGAATACATTTGCCACAGGTACAAATTAACTTTCCTCAGGAATTCAGCAAGAAAAGCAAGAAATAAAATAACACACTAGTCTTCTAGTTCCATTAAAAAAAAAAAATCAATTCAGCCACTACCTATCCTTAGGAGAAATAAGCCTAAATGTCGAGATGGTCTGGACTTTATACTGCAAAGCCATTGTGATGTAACCCACTGTGACCATTTAGTCACTTCAAAGAGTGACCTCTTTTCTCAAGACTCCAGTAGAGCCAACCCTCAAGTAGGGCTTGGGAGGCTCTTGGGCCTCCAGGGGCCTTTTTTGACCCACAAAGGGTGGAGGGAGAGAGAATACTGGAGATAATGGTAGCATTTCTGGAGCAATAGTGCCATCAAGTGGATGCATTTTGAACATGGCCTCCCACCCCTGCCTATGGTCCTGCTGGGAAAGGCCTGTGAGGGGCGGAAAGGAGGTATCAGAGCACTCAGAAGATTCTGGGAAAACCTCCCTGCAGGACACGCCTCCAGAGCAGGTGTGGAAGGGACAGGTCATCCTGCCTGGGCCCAGAATGGCACACCAAGGAATCTATGACTGTCAAACCACTGGGGGCATGGCCTCGGCATTCGCCATATTCAAGAACAAGGAACTGAAGCTCCAGTTCCTAGTGTTTTAAGTCCCCAATTTCTGAGACTACGTGACCTAAATGACCCAGACTTTTCAAGGAGCAAGCTGAGTTACAGAGGCAGAAGGAGCAGGAGGTTGTGTAAAATTTTAACTTTTCCTCTTAACACTACCTACCCTTAGGAGAAATAAGCCTAAATGCACAGATAGTCTTGACTTTGTACTGCAAAGCTATTGTGATGTAACCCACTGTGACCATTTAGTGACTTCATAGAGTACTTTGCTGGGATTGAGGCTTGTGGGTTAGCATAATGATGAGCCTTTCTGCTTACCTAAACTACTGGCCCTGAGGTTCCTAAAATAAAGAACCAATTAGCCCTGCATCCACAGATACAGAAACTTTTTCCCAGTTATAATTTACTGAGAACTTCCAGATGTTTAGAAAAGGCAGAGGAACCAGAAATCAAATTGCCAACATCCGCTGGATCATCGAAAAAGCAAGAGGGTTCCAGAAAAATTTCTACTTTTGCTTTATTGACTATGCCAAAACCTTTGACTGTGTGGATCACAACAAACTATGGAAAATTCTGAAAGAGATGGGAATACCAGACCACCTGACCTGCCTCCTGAGAAATCTGTATGCAGATCAAGAAGCAACAGTTAGAACTGTACATAGAATACAGACCGGTTTCAAATCAGGAAAGGAGTACATCAAGGCTGTATATTGTCACCCTGCTTATTTAACTTATATGCAGAGTACATCATGTGAAATGCCAGGCTGGATGAGGCACAAGCTGGAGTCAAGATTGCCAGGACAAATATCAGTAACCTCAGATATGCAGATGATATCACCCTAATGGCAGAAAACAAAGAAGAACTAAAGAGCTTCTTGATGAAAGTGAAAGAGGAGAATGAAAAAATTGGCTTAAAACTCAGCATTTAGAAAACTAAGGTCATGGCATCCGGTCACATCATGTCATGTCAAATAGATGGGGAAACAATGGAAACAGTGACAGACTATTTTTGGGGGCTCCAAAATCACTGCAGATGGTGACTGCAGCCATGAAATTAAAAGACACTTGCTCCTGGGAAGAAAAGTTATGACCAACCTAGACAGCATATTAAAAAGCAGAGACATTACTTTGCCAACAAAGGTCCATCTAGTCAAAGCTATGGTTTTTCCAGTAGTCATGTAGGGATGTGAGAGTTGGACTATAAAGAAAGCTGAGTGCCAAATAATTGATGCTTTTGAACTGTGGTATTGGAGAAGACTCTTGAGAGTTCCTTGGACTGCAGGGAGATCCAACCAGTCCATCATCCTAAAGGAAATCAGTCCTGAATATTCATTGGAAGGACTGATGCTGAAGCTGAAACTCCAATATTTTGGCCACCTGATGCGAAGAACAGACTCACTGGAAAAGACCCTGATGCTGGGAAAGCTTGAAGGCAGGAGGAGAAGGGGGCCGACAGAGGATGAGATGGTTGGATAGCATCACCGACGCAATGGACATGAGTATGAGCAAGCTCCAGGAGTTGATGACGAACAGGGAAGTCTGGCGTGCTGCAGTCCATGGGGTCGCAAAGAGTCGGACACGACTGAGCAACTGAACTGAACTAACTGATGAAGGATGAGTGTCCTTGCACAAGGGACATGTGATGGTTTGGGGTTTGTTTAACACTCTTATTCAGTTACCTAGCTAGAAACAAGTTCCAAAACTAGATGGAGTCACTTAAGAATGGTCTCTCGGGACCAATCTTTACTCATATTCCAAAAGGATCCATTATTACAGGAGCAATACTTTGTATGCATGGCTGGAACCTGGATTTATTCAAAGTGGCAAGGGTCTTCAACCAATCCCTAGTATGTGAATCATCAAGGTACTTCTGGCCCTAACCCTGGCCAATAATAACAAAGTTGACAAAATACATCACATCCTGGTTCCCAGGAAAGATGGGCCTGGCCACATGACTCAGAAAATCCTAGAGTGCTGTGGACATGTACCCAGCGATGGAGGGCTCCCCTGAATGGCCTTTTCAGTATGTTATTACCACCAAGGAGAAGCCCCCAGAGGAGGACACACCTCTTCCCCCAACACTCCACTGGAGCTAACATAGTTTGGAGGGTTTGGAAGGTTCTTTGGCCACCATGGGCCTTTTTTGATACACAAAGGGTGGAGGGAGAGGCCCAGCTCCAGAGAGTGGTTGACATTTCTGGCTCAAGAGTGCCATCAAGTGGAAGCTTTTGGAGCATGGCGTCAGTAGTGGATCCTACTGAGGAAGACCTGTGAGGAGAGGAAGGGAAGGTTTGGGTCACTCAGAGGATTCTGGGCAAACCTGGCTGCCTGGCACCCCACCAGAGTAGGTGTGGAAGCAACAGGTAGTGGTGTTCTGAGGCGTTGCTTGCCCACCAAGGAGCCCATGGCTGCCAGGCCTTTGGGGGCGTGGCCTCGACAGTGGCCATGTTCAGGAACAAGGCGCTGAAGCTCCTGACCAGGGCCTGTGGCTAGGGGATCCTTGCCCTTCATGAAGGAAGGCTACTTTGATAGCTTTAAAAGGTCTCAGGTTACTGAAGTAACCTTGCCTTTGCTCAGTGTTAGCATTAACAACACACCTCCATGGCACCAGTATAAACTCCATTAAAAGACTTCAGAAAATCATCATTGTAAAAGGCAAAGGAGTAAAACACAAAGTACACCTGGGAGTTTTTTTCCGTACCTCTCAGATGTCTGAAATTGGCACCAGTAAAATACTGGCCTTTTCTTGGCTTTGAGTTTTAACTGAGTTCAGGGCTGTTGGAACTTAAGAACAGTTTGATAACTGAACCCCACAGGCAGAACTCCTCTGATCATTAATATGAACAACTATAGCGATTAAATGTATCTGAAAATGCAACTAACCAGACACTAACCTGAGGAAATTGGGTGAGACACTTGCCTTGAGAGAGGAGCCTACTCTACAGAAGGGGGAAACAATCAAAGCACAACTTAGGACTATATTACATACCTATCAGAAGTGTGAAGTCAGTGTCTGCTCTTCGTCTGTGCTTGCTCTCTGGGTCCACACCAAGATAATGTACGAGCTGTTGATCACATGCTTTGATTTTATTACCAAACTGGTTCCTGAAAAGGAAAGAAAATACTGTTGAATACCTTTGCCACTGATGCAGATCAATATCCTTCATGAAACATGAATATAACATGAAAAACATAAAAACCAAAACATAACAACACACCAGTCTTCTTGTTTCATTAAAAAAAAAAAGATCCAGCCACACTACCTACCCTTAGGAGAAGTAAGCCCAAATGTACAGACAGCCTGGACTTTATACTGTAAAGCCATTGTGATGTAACCCACTGTGATCATTTAATCATTTCCTAGAGTACTTTGCTGGCTTTGAGGCTTGTGGTTTAATTCAATGAGCCTTTTTGCTAACCTGAAATAGTGGCCCCGAAGTTCCTGAAATAAATAACCTGTTAGCCCTGCATCCACAGATACACATTCTCCCACTTTTAATTTATTGATTCCCATGAAGGATGAATGTCCTAGCACAAGGGACAAATGACAGTTTGGGGTTTGTTCAGCACTCTCAGTCACGTAGCTAGAAACAAGTTAGAAAACACAACAGAGCCACTTAAGAGTCTCTGTAGGCACCAATCTCTACACATATTCCAAAAGGATCCATATTACAGGAGCACACCCTTTGTATGCATGGCTAGAACCTGGATTTATTCCAAGAAGCATAGGTTTTCAATGAACCACTAATTATGTAAATCATCAAGGGAGTTCTGGCCCTAATCCTGACCAGTAATAACAAAGTGACAGAATTCATCACATTCCAGTCTACAGGAAATGGGGATCAGGCCATGTGGACTCATAATCTCCTTGAGTGCTGTGGACATGGACCCAGAGACGGATGGTTTCCTTTCCATGTCCTTTTGTTGTAGCCAAATGCTCCGGGAAGCAAAGTCACTCAGAAGGACAACGTGGATAGCAGAGTGCAGTTTATCACAACGGCAGGTCTGAGGCAGAGTTTCCTCTAGCCAGGGACCCCGAACAATTTTTGTGAAAACGTTATATACCCTAAGTGTACGTGCACAAGCACACATCCCTGAATTCCTCAATCCTACTCTGGAAAATGTCAAAGGGAGATACAATCAGGTTACAGTCATGATTCATAATCAGAAGGGTCAGTTGGTTATATATTGTAGCCTACATCAATGGGTGCCATAAAGATTACAAAGGTGACTGACTACATAGGGGATTATTACATTCCTTCTGGCGACAGGAAATCTTGGTATGGAATCTGGTGTTTATCAGTTCGGGAGGCCTGTTCGGCTGTACCTATGTTGTCTCCATGGCTGCTGCTGTTGCTGCTAAGTCCCTTCAGTTGTGTCCGACTCTGTGCGACCCCATAGAAGGCAGCCCACCAGGCTCCCCCGTCCCTGGGATTCTCCAGGCAAGAACACTGGAGTGGGTTGCCATTTCCTTCTCCAATACATGAAAGTGAAAAGTGAAAGTGAAGTCGCTCAGTCATGTCCGACTCTTAGCAACCCCATGGACTGCAGCCTACCAGGCTCCTCCGTCCATGGGATTTTCCAGGCAAGAGTACTGGAGTGGGGTGCCACTGCCTTCTCCAGTCTCCATGGCTACCAGGCATATAGTTCAAAGTTCACCGAGAATGCAAGAGGGAGTTTCCTTCTCAAGATGGAGTCAGTGCAGCCTGTTCCTTTCCTCCTTCACCTTTAGCTATGTTCTTACTCTCAAGGAGCAGCCCCCAAAGGAGGAGACACCTCTTTTCACAAAATTCCTGTGGACCACTTGGAAGACTCTTGGGCCTCCACAGGCCATTTTTTCACCTGCAAAGTGTGGAGGGAGAGGCCATTCTCCAGGGGGTGGATGGCATTTCTGCAGCAACAGTGGCATTGAAGAGGAAAGGTTAAAATTTTACATAACCTCCTATTCCTGCCTCTGTAACTCAGCTTGCTCCTTGCAAAGTCTGGATCACGTAGGTCTCAGAAAGTGGGGACTCACAATACTAGGAACTGGAGCTTATCTCACTCACCCTTGTCCTGCTGTTTGCAATCGCCCAGCCCCTGCAAACCCACAAACCCACTTAATCATGCTTGTCTGTGTATAAGAACTCTGTAACCCCTTTGTGGGGGCTCAGAGCTTGGAATGTTAACTCCCCTGGGTTCACCGGCATAATAAACCTGAGTTCTCCAACTCTCTAAGTGTGGTGCTTGGTTTCTTAAGTACTGGTTTCTGCAACACCATCAAGTGGAAGATTTTTGAGCCTGGCCTACAGGCTCTGGCTGTGGATCCTGCTGGGGAAGGCCTGTGAGGGGAGCAAGGGTGTGTCTGGAGCACTCAGAGAATTCTGGGTGAACCTGGCTGCTGGACACCCCTCCAGAGCAGGTGTGGAAGCAACAGGCAGTGGTGGTCTGGGACCTGGCTCTCCCATGGAGAAGCCCATGGCTGCCAGACCCTTGGTGGCTTGACCTCAGCAGCCACCATATTCAGGAACAAGGAGCTGAAGCTCTAGCCCAGGGCCTGTGGCCAGGGGATCCTCGCCCATCCTGCAGGAGGGAGGTCCACCAGTACGGTCTCTGGGGTCTCAGGGCCACTGGTGACCCAGGAACTGTTGCCCAGGCAGAGGCACTGTGCCTGGCTACCATGGACAAAGCCAAAAGGGGAAGAGGTGGCCACCCTGTCAGGGACAAACATCTAGCAGACATGATGCGGAATTTTGCCTGACGAAGGCTTGGTCCCAGACTGAGACAAATGCATGTGCACTTTATGTCCGGGTTGGAGTTACGTTTTTGTATACATTTGCTCGTGCCAAAGAGTCTGGGTCCCATGCCCCACAGGATCCCGTGAAGCCCTTCCTCTGCCTTATGACAGAGGGTATCCGGACACTACTCATGGTGGGATGAAACTGGCCCCAGAGCAGTATGCTGAAGCTGAATTGGGCGAAAACATCCACAGACAGCAAGGCAATCCAGGTCTGTTTTCCCTGGCGTTCTATTTCAGGAACGGAACTGCACTGGTAGGTGAACCCCTATTCCTCGCTCCCACTGCCCCACCATGGAGGACCCAGGTCCTCTTCTTGGGGAGGACTGCTGTGATTTTTCATGAGGGACTCCGTGTTCTGCATGTGCAGACATTGGTCCTGGGCACAGGGGCACAAGGAGACCACCTGTGCCAGCTGACCCATCAGACCCCATAGGTTGGTCAGGGCCTGGTCCTAAGGGAGGCTCTGCCCACATAACCTCACATGACAACATTTTGGGCAACTCAGTAGTGTGAAAGAAGGGGCATGGGGTGGCATTCAGCACCCTTCGAGGAGGGGTGAAAGTGAGGGGGTATGTTTGGAAGAGGTAGTGTTCACTCATGGAAACTTCTTTCCAGTTGGAAGTCATCCCCCCTCAGCCCTGTCCCTCACCACAAAACCACCCCAATCCCCACCCCTCAGGCAGGTTAGAGCCAAGTAAAGGGCAGGCATGAGCTGCCCCAGAGCTTGCTCCAGAAGTGGCATTTTGGGTCAGCTGGGGACTAGAAGGCAGAACCCTGTGCCCGGCGGGATGCACCAGGCTCCTGGCCTTGGCAGACAAGCTGGAAGAGTGGTGGTCTTGAAAGAGAGGGAAGCAGGAGGCGTTTCTCTCGGTCCAGTAGAGGTGAGCTCCAGGCAGCTTCTTCAGACCTCTTCTTCTTGATGTCCTACCTGGGCTGCGGGTGCAAGCACAGGGTTGAGACCTGGAGAGCCAGGGCTGAATGGAAGGTAGGGCCTGTCCTCCTCTCTTCACTGAACTGAGGCTCAGGGCCTTTTGAGGAGAAAGCTGAAGCTTGCAAAGACGTGGCCCGGGGATCCACTTGGCTGGGCTCTTCTCTGCTCTCTGGGACGCAGCTCTGGGAGACCTGGGGACAAGACTGGCCAGGGCCAGAATCCTGGAGACCCTGGAAGTGACATTGCACCTGCCAATGAGATTCTTCAGCTCAGGACAAGGGCACCTTCTGCAGTGCCTCTGTGTCCGGCGAGTGCTGTTTCCTTTGGAGCCTCGGGAGCTATCCTTGGGCCTCAGGTTCCGTTGGCACTGTGTAGCCAGGATCCACATGTCATTTGCACTGGACAGAAGGTCACTAGGCCTGCCTCTGCCCCTGATGACAGCGGAACTCCAGGTGTCCAGGGTGGTCTCTGCCTCGGCCACAGCCCAGAGAGAGGCTTCTGGGGCTCTGGGCTCACCCAGGCCCATCCTGCTCTGGCTCCCAGGGGAAGGGGCCAGTGGGCCAATGTCCGCAGCCCCGCACTGGGTTCCTTCAGAGCAGCTTCCTCTAGTGCCACCCAGACATGGTGGCCACCAGGGTCCATGGAGACTCCACTTCCTGTACCCCACAGGGCAGGCACCCTGGCTGTGCCCCTTGTCCTGGTGGCGTCCCTGGAGCTTCCACGACCCCACCCAGCCCTGGGACCTGCTTCTTGCACCTCCTCTGGCAGAGCTCTCCACTTTCCAGGGGCCACTGTCCCTTGCCCCTTCAATCCCTTATCAGTCCTCCCCAGGAAGGGTCAGTACAGGGTTCATGTATTTGGCAGATCCCTTGTCCTGTTGATGGCAGCACTGCACCAGAAATGGCCACCTGCCCTTCCCCTTACCTCAACCTAAGATGTCTCTCTCAGCCCTTTACTGAGGAAAAAAAGAAACGCCAAGCTCTGTCCAACCTGGCCAAAGAGAGATGTCTCAACAGTGTGGCCACTTCAGAGGGGCACTCCTCAAAGTCTGTCACTCCAGTCTGCGGGGCCTGGTCTCCGTGGTATCCTCTCAGTCTGCCCTCATCACAAAAGAGCGAAGACTCTCCATGCAGGCACCCAGCAGTGGACCCGCAGCAGTGTCTTTAGCACCTACATCTGCCTAAGACTTCGGGAAATATCCTGAGTGTGGGCACACAGATAGAGTCATGCCTGTCCAGTGCTTGGAGAGGCCCAGTCACGGGTCACAGAGGGACACAAAGGATGTTGGCCCCGTGGCACTGGTCAGGGGTCAACAGTGATGTAGACTTACTGTGGTGTGATGATGGGTGGCCACCAAGGACCTGGCTCATCTACAAGGGCCCTGGGGTATTCAGA